GATTTCCCCGGTGTGAGCAGCCGTCGTGCGTTCTCTCAGAAATGAAGATGGTAATGCACGTATATTATTCCAAATATCCTTCTATCACTTGAGTCGTGATGCTGGTTGATGAGCAATGCTGGCTATCACTTGTCGGATAATGCCGTGGTTGGCTCCCACCCGACTTCTCATACATATTGGCAGTCCAATTACGACGAGCCAGGATATGTTGAATAAATATAATAAAATATAATGCCTGTAGAAATATTGGCAGATTTTTTTACATTTTTATCAGTGCAATTAGGAGTATAATCGATGCAGACATGGCCAGACAACAGCGAGTTCATGGAATTTTTAAGGATTTTTATGTTATTCAAAATCGATTTTCGTGTTCCGCTCATCAGTGAATAGTATCGGAACTGAAACCAAAATGAAACCAATATCTTCACCCATAGACCCAGAAGAAGCACAGCAAACTATTCACTTGAAATTTAGGCACGGAATGGACTTGGCCCACGCAAAATGGTCAATGGAAATGGGTGTGCAGTAGCAGAGAACCCAGCAACGGTGACGCGGAGCAGCGGTCAAACGACTTGTGATGTTGGTGGAGATGATGGAGCCATGTTGGAGGCTGATGAGGAGTGCAGTGAGACTGAGCATCAAACGGATGATGAGGAAGTGACGGATGATGATGATGGTGGTGATGAGGACGATGATGATGAAGATGAGACGGAGGACGAGGATATGGCGGAGGAGGTCGAAGGAAAGGAGCGGGATGAGACGGAAGAGAGCGACGTGAGCAAAAAGTCAGCTGTATTTTGTCACTTGTTATCACGTCCAGATTGTCTTAGTGTGTACGATGATTCTCACCTTTCTGTTTTGTGCCGTGCAAGTTTTGTTAAGCAGTTGAAGGTTCTGGAAGCTGTATGTATTCGTGTGCATAATCCTGTTCTTTGTAAACAAAAGAAGCACGTAGTCGCGCTAAAGTTGTTCTCGTAGCTGGTTATCAGATGTAAATGTTGTGTCATGTTGCACTGTATCACCTCTTGCTTTGTGGCTGCACTCAGTTATATACGATAGCACTATGTTTGACACCTATTATGTAATGCTGTAGCACTTCCTTTGTTGTTCACACTTTTAATTAATTATGCTGTTATTAATGTTCTATTTTTGTACACAGTACCCTCAGTTCCGATACTATTCACTGATGAGCGGAACACGAAAATCGATTTTGAATAACATAAAAATCCTTAAAAATTCCATGAACTCGTTGTTGTCTGGCCATGTCTGCATCGATTATACTCCTAATTGCACTAATAAAATTGCTTTCTCCACGCCGACTCTTTTTTACATTTCCTGTCACATGAATATTTCATGCATGTTTGGTATAACATGAAGAAACGGAAGATCGAAAAGCCGTGTTTTCACTCTAGCCCGGTCGAGAGATCATGGCGAGGAATGTAGCGAGTCATTGTTTTCAGGTGCTCGTCTGCCTTCATGGTACTCATATTCACCACTGACCAGGCTGCTTCTCCAGCCTTTGCACCCTGTTCTCCTTTCATCCTTTGATTGATCCCATGTTTCACGAAATTTACCTATTGTTTGACTGCGAATGTCTTTCTTTTCTACTCATTTTTGGAAAGCCACTACGATGGTGAGTGTGATCGCTCTCTCACACTATTACCCCTTGTACGGAACACATCACGTTGATACTGAAAAGCACTAGGGCTTTTGAGATTTTGAAACACTCCACCACTTCACATTGCACATTGTATTGCACTGAAATGCCTCATTTCTCGTTGGCTGAAGTAGGAAAGAAACGAGAAATTTTTCTTTTTTCTACAACTAAAGTTGTGTGGAATGTTACTTTGCGTTCTTGAATCGCGGTTTGACCGTATTGATCAATGATCTTGCCCGTATCGTCATCGACATGCATGGTTTTATTTTGTCTTTCCTTTTTGCATGACGTAACAATTGTTGCTCGCAAATGCGAGTTAGTAGAAGCATGCGCTCTGCCTGCGGCATTCTCTTTCTTCTTGCGTTGCAAGTGTAGTGCTTTTGCTGCTGCCCCCGCAGAGGCTGTTTGTTGTTGCTGTGTGCGTGTGTGTGTGTATGTGGGTGCGGGGGTGCATGCGGGTGAGGTGTATTAGGAGTGGGAGCATGTATGGTGTGGCTGCACACAAAGGTAAGGAAGAGAGTAAACAAAGAATGAGTTTTCCTGTAAATGAAAATGTCCTCCTTTTCGCGAAGGAATCTAGACAACATGTCACAGTACTCGATACCTGTAGAAACTCGTGATAACAAGATGGTCAGTGAATTGTTCTGTTCAGCCTGACCTCTATGTTCATGCCGAGTAATGCATTCATACGTAGACAATTATTTTTCTTATACTATTGTGAATTTTCCACTGAAGTCAAACCCGTCCTTGCGTTCACCTGGGGAAACGGATACTAGTACTCTTGCGTGCCCACAGTGCTATGTAGCACAGACCTCAACCTGAAAACAATTTTATTTATTTATTTTTATTTAAAACTCGGATGTTGAACCATAAATATATGTAGAAGAGAAAAGGACATATGAATACGAGTTAAGAGTAACTCTCCATCACTGTAACATGATACTATATACAGTCAGAAAGTGCAATAACTAGGCCCAAAACTGACAGAGTACTGAGACATTCGACATCCTGACACCTACTCTTAACTCGCATCCATATGTTCTTTTCTCTTCTATACTTTTATTTAACTTTTGTTTTCTGGTGCCGAACGTAATTCCACAGAATTTGTAGTGCATTCGTGTAGATTTACACCTACTTATAATAATACAATCAAAAAGAGAAAATGACTACCTGAAGAAGGCCATTGGCCGAAACGTTGTATATAATGGAATGGAGCTCTTGAACAGCCTGGAACCTCTCTGTTATATATAATGGAATGGTTCGGAAATTTGTGGAATGGGTGAGTTCACCCAATTGAATCTACTATGAAACTGCAGAAAGCCTCCAAACTTCTTCTAAAAAACAGACAAAAAGAGAAGAGAAAAAGAAAAAGGCCCCACCCTGTCCTGCCAGTTATGGGTACTCACGGGAGTCGCCATGGCAAAAAATAACAATTGTAATTCCAAATATACAAATAATCTACGTGGAGATAAAAGTTTAATAATAGCTATGAAAAGTATGAATGCCGCAGACATCACCACGCAACATGACAATTTGTTCAAGGTTTGGTTTTGTGTGTTTCCAAAATCGATTTTCACGTTCCGATCATCAGTGGAAATACGGAACTAAAGAGATCAAGGGAAAACAAAGGTTAAAAATCCAAAGAAGTGTGACACATGACGGGTAACTTGTGGTAAGTATTACAAAAAGTGAGAACTAAAATAAAGAGTAAGTGTGACAAATGGGCATGAACAGTGCAGAAACAACTCATGAACACGGGGTGCAAACTCACGAAAATAACCGAAGTGCTAAAACATGTTCTTTTTGCTTACACAAATCGGGCTTATGCGTACGAATACAAACAGTTTCAAGGACCTTCAACTGCTGGACATAACGGGCACCACACAGTACAGAGAAGTGGGAATCATCATACACACTCAAACAATCGGGACGAGATAACAAATGCAAGTACAGAGCTGACTTCTTACGAAATTCACCCTCATCAGCTCCGCGCGAACATATCTAACTCCTATTTACTGCCCTAACGTGAAGCCGTACCTGGACGAAGGGAAAGAGCGAAAAGGCAAAAAAATATAATAAAGCCTTTGGTTACGTTATCTTGTTACCTTTTTGCGTTTCCTCTAGTGGTTTTATTGCACTTGCATCTTGTTGTTATTTCTAACACCTTTCTATTTACAGTACTTAACTTCAGTTTCTTTGGTTGTATCCTTAGTTCCGTATTTTCCCACTGATGATAGGAACAAGAAATCGATCATGGGTTTTCAATAATATTTTTGTTATAAAATACACAGTAAATACATGTCAAACAAGTAAAGTAGTTGCGTGATGTCTGCGGCCTTCATCCTATTCATAGCTATATTAAAATTATTATCTCCACGTAGATTATTTGAATCAAAATAAAGGTTCTGATATCCTGCAAGCGGTATCAAATAATGAGTGCCGGCTGGGAAAAGCCACATAAACATGAGGTCAACCGGATGACGGTGAGTTTCCGGCATACATATTGCCCTCCTGCTCCACCTGCGCACACCTGATATGGTGGTGTGCTGGGCTGTCTGGGCCCCAGAAGCCTCCCTGATAAAACAATGCGACACAATATTGTGGAAAGGTCACAACAATAAGAGACAAGATCAAAAGGAAAGCTTTACAATAATTGTAATAATAAAACGTAGCTTGTAAAATGTAAGGAGTCACTGAGTACAGTTATTCAATGTCCATATCCAGTATTTATAATAAAGCCTCACTGATGCCCTAAGGGTCGAAGCATCTGTACCACTTAGGTGATCCAAAAGCAAAATGCAGCCTTGCCGGTCGCCCGGCGGCCTGCGCATAAGCGACCAGCCTGAGGCTGACCCTGCCGTATTGAGCTCTTCTAAACGCTGCTATACGGTAGATAGTGCACTGGGCTGCCAAATACGCGACTGGCTCGAGGACAATCCCATGCTGCATAGTAGTTCGCACAGCTCAGGTCGTACTTCGTAGCGGTGTGAGCTGGGCGCGCTGAGGGTTGATGATAACTACAGTTTCAACCTCCGGAAACTTCCATATTGTGGGGTAGGGAGTTGATTACGGCCTCTAATTTAGTGTTGGGACTTCAAGTCTTGGTAGATTTGATGGCGACATTTTCACAGCAACCTCGACCACTTGTTTAGAGATGTCAAAAGTGTCAAATACACCTACATCACAATGTCTAACAAGCGGTACATGATCACTGCGACGCATAACACCAATATGATCAGCAGAGCACAAACGCTATGGCCTACACCTCAAGCTGCATCATGTGACCATACACCTCCCCACTTCTCCCCCAGGTGCAAATCCAAAACAGTCAACTGCCTGTTTGGTGAGTGAAGGGACGATCACCTTCACTTCTCTTGCTGCTATTCATCTCACATTAAGATGAGTGAATGCCCTCTATTAGTTGAATGGGCCACATTTGAAGAACATTGTCGACTGGTGAACACTTCAGTTAGAATGAAACTCTTGCAGAAACTGAACATAACCCACTCACTGAAGTTTCATTTTGTTCGTTAGGATTCTGCTTTGTAGAGATGTCGTCCATCGGAGATCGGGAAGCCGTAGAGCAGGATTTCGGCGAGCCGGACGACCAACAGCCGGACGACCAACACCAGGATGATCAAAAGCCAAACAGCCAAGAGGTGGAACTCAAAGCCGAAAACCAGCCATGCTGTGATTCCCAAGAACAGCATGGTAAAGAGCATCACGTTCAAAATCGGGCCAGCCAACAGCCAGATGCCGAACAGCCGGACGCCCAACAGCTGAATACTCGGTGGAGGGACGCTCAAGCTCCACAGCGGGCACCCTCGGATTTACAAACGCAACACAACGTGAAGAGTGACACCCAAGAGAGGCACGCTCCCAAGCTGGGTGGCCGAGAGAGGAACCTCCCGCCATGGGACAGCCACTCACTCTCCCCAAGGCCATTCGGCCTAGACCGGGACACCCCAGAGGATCTAACCCAAGAACCGGACACCCGCGAACGAGAACCACTATGCAAGCAGTTTGCCCAAATGCAGCTCGACCAAGCACGGCACCCCGAAGAGAGGCTCGCCGCTGACCGAGAGTCAGTTGACAGAGAGGGGGTCCGCATAAGACGTCTCCCAGGGGATCGACAGCCCCGAGCGCAACGTTTTCCATACCAACCTGCACAGGAGCCGGGAGTTGTCCAAACCGACCGACGGCAAGGATGTGATCCTCAACTGCGGCAACGCCAAAAGGTGGAGCGGGACATCCAATTTCAAGAGGCGGCAATCGGGCTATCGCGGGCAATGGGGTTAGATCGACAGATCCAGCAGTATGAGCAGCAGCTCCAACAGAGGAAGGAGCTCAACGAACTGCAAAGACGGCATGTCCCACAGCAGGATGTCCTACAGGAGGATGTCCAACAGCGAGGCGTCCATCAGCGGAATGTCCAACAGCGGGAGCGGATCGTCAAACAGAGAGAGATTGCCGTCGAAAAGTGGCAGATGAAGGTTCATCAGCGAGAGCGGATCGTCGAACGACGAGAGAGTACGGTTGAGTTGCGGGAGGGGATGGTCGAACAGCGGGAGAAAGCCCTCCAGGACCAGGAGGTGATGCGCCTACGGAAGGAGCAAGAGGAGAGCTCCAAGAGCGAGTCGAGTAAAACACAAGGACCGGAATAAGAATTTACTGAAAAAATTGGTCCGTTTGTTCTACTTTCTTTGACATGCAGGCCCAAAAATCACGTCACACATAACTTTATAATGTCATGTACTCAAGTATGAATTTCCAGCAATGTTTAATAACGTTTTACACATTCTACCCCCCCCCCTCGTCTCAATTGTTTTGTTCCTTTGTTGTCCAGACACGAAAGCCGTGTACTTCTTGTGTGACGTGTTGCCTTCGGAAACACGCTCGGAATCCTCTGCCAAGTCCGAGACGAACTGTAAGGGTCGTCTGAACAACTACATGTACGACAATGTGTCATGCAAAACATGTGTACTGGTGCTGCGTTTGGGTGCATGGTTGCATTATGCATGTGTGGGCGTGTGTGTTTTTCGTTAAGGGGGGGGGGACATTTCTTCATTCTTCTTTTCCACTCGTACCAGTGTTTTTCCTAGGCACACTCATCCTATGTTCTGACATATTTGGACGGCATGTGCCTGACCGCATGTGCACACCAGCAGCAGCAAGAGCACCAGCAGCAGCAAGAGCAGCCGCCACAACAAGAACAACAACAGCACCAGCAGCAGCACCAGCAGTCGCCGCAGTAGCACCAGTAGTCACCGCAGCAGCACCAGCAGTCGCTGCAGCAGCAGTAGCACCAGTAGTCACCGCAGCAGCACCAGCAGTCGCCGCAGCAGCAGTAGCGACAGTAGCACCAACCAGCTGGAAGCACAGCAGCATGATCAAGAGCAACAGCAACTTGGGATTGCCGCCACGATAAATGATTTCCTGAGCGCGAGTCGTGGCCTGTCCGCTGCCGCTGCCGGCACACCTGTAACCACGCCACACAGCCACAAACGTTCTTCTGCCGAGCGGTCACCTGATTCGCTGTCGCATGATGCGAAGCGTCCTGCCCAGCCTGGTGCGCAGCCACCCCGGCAGGATAACCAATCCTCACAATGATGGCTCCAACACGTGCACGGCAACCACCTAGAATGCTCCGCCTCATGCTGACAAATGCTTTCCGTATCTTGTCAAAACTTGGGGAGTTCCAAGCTTCTCTCAATGCCCACCACCCAGACATTGTCATCGTCACGGAGACAAAAGTCACGGAGGACAAGGCCACGCCTGCTGACCTCACATTCCCTGGATACTTCCCACCAGTTCGAAGGGACCGTACGGCCCAGGGGGGCGGTGTTGCTATCTGGATTCGGGCCGACCTGGCTTTCACAGAACTAGAATGTAGTGATACTGGTGGAAACGAAATCATGTGGGTTCGCCTCAAGACAGCAGCTGGCCCATCCATTGGAGTATGTGCTGTGTATCGCTCAGGTTCATCCGCTGATGGAGACATCTCTGCCCTAAACAGCATCAGCTCTGGCATAGATGAAGCTAGGCAATGCTGCCAGAATATCATCGTTGCAGGTGACCTAAATGTTCACAACCGGGAATGGCTAGGCAGCAGTAGAACTTCCCCTGCTGGTGAAGCTGCTGAAGATCTGTGTTGCCACCATTGCCTCGATCAGCATGTCCATGAGCCAACACGTGGCAATAATATCCTCGTCCTCATAATGTCAGATATCCCTTGAAGCGTCATCTCAACTCTCCATCCACCTCTAGGGAAATCTGACCACGCAGTTGTGGTAACTGACTTTGAAGTTGCCCCCTCCTGTGACCGTCCCAGTAAGCGAACCGTGTGGCGCTACCAGCTTGCTGACTGGCCTCGGCTACGGGATTTCTTTCGGTCCACAAACTGGGTGTTGACTGATGACAACAGCATTGACGTCTCTTGTGTGAAACTCACACAGAAGATCAAAGAGGGCATGCAGATATTCATTCCATCCAAAACCCTGAAGCTACGCCAGGGAGACCCAGCCTGGTGGTCACCTGAGTGCCAGGAAGCTGTTGACAGGAAGCAACGTGCCTGGCGACGTCACCGATCTTCGCCCAACAATGCACACCTGCGGCTGGCCTACTCTATGGCAACAGGTGAAGCAACAAACTGTCTGCACAGAGCCAAGCAAGCGCACACTACCAGTATCAGCCGAAAGATAAGAGAAGGTGCCCTTTCCAGCCGACAATGGTGGACAACCGTCAAGCGAGCAGGTGGGCAAGGACACCGCTCTGCAGACATACCTGTTCTGCGTGCGTCGAAAGGAACTGAGCACACCACCTGCAGCGAAAAGGCCGAAGCATTCGGGCAGTATTTCTCCGCAAAGTGCAGTCTTGGTGACAACGACTTGCAAGCCAACAGCCTCCCTCCAGTCCGCCCCCGATCTCAAGCCCAACTCCGCAATGTCCACTTTCGGCAAAGCACGGTTGAGCGGAAGCTGAGGCAACTCCACCCCGCCAAAGCCACGGGTCCAGATGGCATCCCCGGGCGTGTACTCCGGCAATGCAGCAAAGAGCTGGCTGCACCAGTGTCGCGGCTCTTTTCGCAGGCCTTCCACCAAGGTCGGCAACCTACAATGTGGAAGACGGCAATGGTTGTGCCGGTGCACAAGAAAAAATCCAAGTCTGATGTTAAGAACTACCGCCCGATCTCCCTCCTCTCTATTCTGTCGAAAGTCATGGAGGCCATTATTAACCACTCAATCCGACAGTTCCTGAAGGCACACAACATCTTATCGAAAAGTCAGTATGGCTTCCGCAGCCAACTCGGCACCCAGGACATACTCACGCTACTCAACTACCAATGGAGTCGCGTTGCAGCCAGAGGTGGTGTAGTTCGAGTCATTGCAGTTGATGTGGCTGGCGCATTCGACCGCGTCTCTCATGTAGGCGTTTTGCACAAGGCACAATGCTATGGTGTAACTGGTCCACTTCTCGCTTGGCTGAGGGATTACCTGACTGATCGTCACTTGAGGGTTGCAGTTGGAGGTGAACTTTCCAGTCCGTACCCGACCAAAGCTGGCGTGCCGCAGGGCAGTATCCTTGGTCCCACCCTGTTCATCCTGTACACCAATGATGGCGAGGACCACCTCCCACCAGGTATGGAGCTAGCCGCCTACGCTGACGACACCACTCTCTTCCACTGCCTCACATTAAGAGCTGACATTGACTGTGGCTCCGAGCTCCTCCAGCAGGGCATTGATGCGTTTTCCCGTTGGGGACATAAGTGGAGGATCAAATTTGAGCCCTCCAAGACGCAGGCTTTGTCTATAGGCCACCATCGCCAGCCCTGGGAGCTCCCTCGAGCAACATTTGACGGCACACCGGTCAGTGAAGAGAGTCGGCTGAAACTCCTGGGAGTCACCTTTGACGACACCCTGAGCTACTCCTTCCACCTCCGCTCCCTAGCTTCCCGTGCTAACCAGCGGATTGGCTTCCTGAAGCGAGCGTCTCCCATTCTGGACGCCGAGAGCCGCCAACGCGTCTACAACGGCTTTGTGCGACCCACACTCGAGTATTGCCCCTTAGTGTGGATGGGCTCACCCTCGTCCCATCTTAAGAAGCTGGACCAGATCCAGCGAAGGGCCCTCCACATCATCGGAGCAGGTACTTGGCTCCCTAGCCTGGCACTCCGTCGCCTGGTAGCTGCACTTGCCTATACCTACAAGCTCTGCTATCTAGATGCATCCAGCCCTCTGAAGCAGATGCTGCCTAAACCAGCCACTCACCGTGCCCCCGAGACAATACCTACCCGTCAGTCTCTCCAGCTGCAGGATTCCCATCCATACCAGATGACAACTGGCCTGCCTGCCAACACCCGGAATAGCTGTCTCCAAGGATTCCCTGCGTGCACTGTTGCAACATGGAATGCCCTGCCACCAGACCTGTTCCACCACCCACCCGCCCAGCCTCACATGCAAAGCTTTAAGAAAAAGGTGTACCGTCACCTTCTTGCTCAGGACTGGCTCTCTGCTACTGATGCACTTTGAATCTGCTCGCCAACGCTTTCCCTGTTCTTATTAGTGTTCAGCTGCTTACCTTATAACCCTGCTGCCATCATTACCAATATTCTGATTCTCATGCACATATCCCAGAACCTGCTATCCTTCGCAGTCCCCATCACCAAGAGCACTGTGATCTTCTATCTCCCAGCTCTCTATCTCTCTCTCTCTCTCTCTCTCTCTCTCTCTCTCTCTCTCTCTCTCTCGCCCTCGCTCTCTCGCTCGCTCTCTCGCTCGCTCTCTCTCGCTCTCTCTCTCTCTCTGTCTCCCTCTCTCTGTCTCTGTCTCTCTGTCTCTCTCTCTCTCTCTCTCTCTCTCTCTCTCTCTCTCGCTCTCTCTCGCTCTCTCTCTCTCTCTCTCTCTCTCTCTCTCTCTCTCTCTCTCTCTCTCTCTCTCTCTCTCTCTCTCTCTCTCTCTCTCTCTCTCTCTCTCTCTCTCTCTCTCTCTCTCTCTCTCTCTCTCTCTCTCTCTCTCTCTCTCTCTCTCTCTCTCTCTCTCTCTCTCTCTCTCTCTCTCTCTCTCTCTCTCTCTCTCTCTCTCTCTCTCTCTCTCTCTCTCTCTCTCTCTCTATCTATCTCTCTCTCTCTCTCTCTCTTTCTTCTCTTTCTTCTCTTCTTCTTCCCCCCCCCCCATCTCCCGATAAATATTAGCCCCCGTTTTCTTTCGACGCGTTTGCTGTGCAGTGAAGCCGAGACCCTTGGTCGGTGGAGCACATCAGACCCCGTCACCACGTCCACGATTCATGCCTGCGATGCTGCACCGCTGCTTTGCATGTCATGATTGGAAGCTGTGGCCTTAGCAAAAAAAAAAAAAAAAAAAAAAAAAACATGATCACATGTGCATGTACAGTGAAACCTGTCTAACGCGACCGCTCAAGGGACCTTCAAAATGTTGTCTCTGTTACCAGGTGGTCGCCTTATCCAGGGCCAATTGACTAGAAATAGCACACCTTGGTCCTGGTTGCAGTGGTCTTCTAGGACAGGTGGTCGCCTTTACCGAGTGGTCGCCTTGGCAGGTTTTACTGTATGTGCAGATCTATTCCTCAGCGGTGGGTGACAAGTGAAAGTCACGTGGTGCGACTCAGCGCTTTTCATGAGAAAATGGTCAAGCCCGAGCTGCTAGGCGAGGTGATTATACCGCTGAAGGAGGTGACAGAGTTCTCATTATTCCTGTACAGTACAACCTGGTTTAAGCGACCACACCACGGTTCAAGCAAAAACGGTCGTTAAAGCCAGGTGATATTTAGAGCCAGGTCCCACAGTGTCTGTGTAGAACTGTCCGTGTATGGGAACACTGTCGTTAACAGCAGGTGGTCGCTAAACACAGAGGTTGCTTACACCAAATCTTCCTGTACTGTATCCGGTCCACCACTGAAGACCTTTAACTTACAGTTGTTCAAAATCGAAGACAAGCACTCTATCGTACGCTGTGTGGAACGTCGTAGTCGTCAAGACACTGGTTTGAAGAAGTGTT